TGTCGTGTAAACGAGTAAATAGCGAGATGGGAGTTTCGGCACGGTGCCCATTTTCAGGGGTGCCGTGCCCAAAACGCTTGTCGTGTAAACCGGCCTTAAAACGCTCCTAGCGATCGAAGGATAAAACGTCCTATTACACATCCAAAGCAAAATATCTTCGCACGACTAACTCAGCTAAACGGTTTAAGTCCATCTTTTCACTTCTAGTAATATATCAACGGAAATAACTCATTGGGAAAGCGAAGGCCCTTCATCGGGAAGATATAGTTATGAACAGTTTTTTGTGTTAGCAGGAAAGGGCTATACGTGAAACCCCTAATCCTTGTGGTGTAATTCAGTGCCTTTGACAATGCCGGGCAGTGCCCCCAGCAACACCGCTACAAGGAAATGTTTAAAAAATATCTTCATCTACATATATACTGTACTGGAGTGCCATATATAAATTTACTTATTGTTTACAAAGGCGTTTGGCATGTCGAGATTATTGAAGCTTATAGCAAACTGTGTGGCACAATATGTTCTCTGAAATCTACATATGCACGAGATCTTATATTTTCCTGTGTAAACGGGAAATTCTTATTTTTGGATTTTGCTGCCATCTGCCAGTTGCGTACCATCATTGGATCCAGTAAACAGTCTCTGATCGTCTAATCAGCGTCTGTATACTGGATATATTGATGGTAACGCACCGGTCAAACGAGGATGAGAGACGACTGCAGAAGTGGATGATACAGAGGTCTTATATGGCTATTCCTCACACCACCCAGAACTCCGTACCCGTTCAGTTCAATCATTGCTGGTATATTACCGTCCTGGCCAAAGTGCCGATTGTGGAATTGACATGACAGGCGTTCTGCAAGTCGAGATTATTGAAGCTTATATCAAACTGTGTGGCACCATATGTTCTCTGAAATCTACATATGCACGAGATCTTATCTTTTCCTGTGTAAACGGGAAATTCTTATTTTTGGATTTTCCTGCCATCTGACAGTTGCGTGCCATCATTGGATCCAGTAAACAGTCTCTGATCGTGTAATCAGCGTCTGTATACTGGATATATTGATCGTAAAGCACCGGTCAAACGAGGATGAGAGACGACTGCAGAAGTGGATGATACAGAGGTCTTATGGCTATTCCTCACACCACCCAGAACTCCGTACCCGTTCAGTTCAATCATTGCTCCTATTTTATATTACTCTCCTGGCCAAAGTGCCGATTGTGGAATTGACATGACAGGCGTTCTGCAAGGCGAGATTATTGAAGCTTATATCAAACTGTGTGGCACCATATGTTCTCTGAAATCTACATATGCACGAGATCTTATATTTTCCTGTGTAAACGGGAAATTCTTATTTTTGGATTTTGCCGCCATCTGACAGGTGCGTACCATCATTGGACCCAGTAAACAGTCGCTGATCGTCTAATCAGCGTCTGTATACTGGGTATATTGATGGTAAAGCACCGGTCAAACGAGGATGAGAGACGACTGCAGAAGTGGATGATAAAGAGGTCTTATGGCTATTGCTCACACCACCCAGAACTCCGCGCCCGTTCAGTTCAATCATTGCTGCTATATTACCGTCCTGGCCAAAGTGCCGAATGTGGAATTGACATGGTAGAATACCTTACCAGAAATTTAAATAGACTACTCTGTGAGCGACCATCGTCCGCAATTGTATAATTGCCGGAGGTTTTAACAAACTAAACCTCGCCCGTTTATATGTAACCGTTTCAATCTTGAGAAATCTGTCCTTGCCCCAACTAGATGAAATAAGACAGCGGATCAAGTCCTGGCGAATATGCAAGACATGTATAATCCGACGGTCCATCTGCTACCACTTGGGCATTCTGATCACCAATGCCTTCTCCTTGTACCAAAACAGAAAGAGAAACTACAACCAGCCTACCTCAAACGGGTAAGACTTTGTATGACAAGCTTCATCAAAACAAAGATTAAAGCTAGACAGCGTGCCTTCTCTCGTAATGATCAAGTGCGATATGAATTAATTATACGTCACCGTTTCAAGACTCAGGCTAAAACGCTCCTAGCGATCGAAGGATAAAACGTCCTATTACACATCCAAAGCAAAATATCTTCGCACGATTAACTCAGCTAAACGGTTTAAGTGCATCTTTTCACTTCTAGTAATATATCAACGGAAATAACTCATTGGGAAAGCGAAGGCCCTTCATCGGGAAGATATAGTTATGAACAGTTTTTTGTGTTAGCAGGAAAGGGCTATACGTGAAACCCCTAATCCTTATGGTGTAATTCAGTGCCTTTGACAATGCCGGGCAGTGCCCCCAGCAACACCGCTACAAGGAAATGTTTAAAACATATCTTCATCTGCATATATACTGTACTGGAGTTCCATATATAAATTTACTTATTGTTTACAATGGCGTTTCGCAAGTCGAGATTATTGAGGCTTATTCGTGCAGAAGGCGAAGTCTTTTCGACTTGGTGGCAATATTGGTCACCTAAGGAATATTTCGAACTAGATTTCGACAACGTCAATGTTCCCATGGCAACATGACGACAGCATAAAGCCTTCCAATTTAACCCATAAATGTGCCGCTATCTCAAAAACGATGTCGGTGACCTATCTTTTTTATTTCATATATCAATAGGGAATGATGCTCTGCAACTGTGGTGAAAGTTTAAAAAATTCTGTAGTGTGTGATTTTTTTAAAAGCGAAAATTTTATTGCGAAATTTCCACACTAAAGATTTTTTAAAATTGAAATTTATAAAATTTACCGCAGAATAAATTCGTGGTCAAAATTTGAAGATAGGTCACCGATGAAACTAATGAGTAAAATGCAAATAAAGTTAGGAAATAGCCTCTTGTAACCCGGGAAATTCCCCTTATAGAAAAGCGTCGCTGACTAGTAAAGACTGTACGCGGGCGCAGAACGAGCTTTCATTCAGCAAAATCGAGCGGCAATGTTGTTTTTACTGTTTTGTTTTTGTCAACTTTTCGATTTATTTGAGTGCCATGGACAGCCAAGGATTATTGTGAAGGATGAAGGATCAAATCGATGAAAACAACAAAACCTCTTTATTTAAGCCGTTTACTCAATCTATGAGCTATATTAACAGCCTATTAACAGATGGACGTGTTTTTTTGTTTCATGTTTGGTTTTGTACTTTTTGCTAAAAATGAACAATTAGGCTATGAAACTGAAATATTTTTCTGTTTACATATAATCACTTTAATCTTGTAGAGACACGACTAAAAACGTGAACGTTTTCTGAAAATTTTAAAAAAATTAAAAAACATTGTTTCGTAGCTATTTTTTGGTCTAGTGGTATCACAGGGGCCCCACTATGAGTTATGATTGAAATGATATTGCATTTATTTTTAAAAACCTACTCGAATCGATTATTTCTTCTCTCGAAGTTCTGTAAACATTTCGAACTGCTTGGAGTCATTATACTATCACTCTACATGACGTTTCACGAAGTATAGATGATCGCTGATGCACCGCCTTCGTCTTTTCGCGCCCGCGTTCTTACTTGTCAGCGATCATCTATACTTCGTGAAACGTCATGTGGAGTGATAGTATAATGACTCCAAGCAGTTCGAAATGTTTACAGAACTTCGAGAGAAGAAATAATCGATTCCAGTAGGTTTTTAAAAATAAATGCAATATCATTTCAATCATAACTCATAGTGGGGCCCCCTGTGGTAATTTGGCACTCAAAACGAAGTATTATTCAACGCTTTTTTCCATTAGAAACCTTTCTTTTTTTCCATTAGAAACCTTTCCTTTTTTTTTAAAAAAAAGCGTGGTCAATTTTTGTTTTGTTTTGATCATGCGGTTGCGTGAAATAGTTCACGTAGTGGTCCCGCTAACATCCCGCACGCAACTGTAGGGAGTCTCCTTAAATCGAATTTTGCGATTTATATTCGTAAAAGACGCTGTTTTGGTCAGCTGTGGTCAAAATATTTGATCGGACGCCATTTTGCGAAAATTAAACGAAGCCATTGTGTTTGCACTGATCTTCAATCAGGCAAGCCACTGTGGTGACTGTGCCACTGCTACCAAAATATCATCAAGCCACTGTGCCAAAACATCAGCAAGCCACTGGCACTGTGACACAGCAGCTACCAAAATATTAGCAAGCCACCGTGACACAGCTACTACCAAAATATCAGCAAGCCACTGTGCCACAGCTGCTACCAAGATATTAGCAAGCCACTGTGCCACTGGTACCAAACTGCCAGCAAGCCACTGTGCTACTGCTAATTGTCTTGCCATTGTGCAGGTAAACAAATTGAACCTTGCCATTATGCAGGTATAATTATATAAAAATACCCAGATTGGGGATTATAATACAACTGCCCTAGCTGCCAACTTGCAGGTAAAGGATTCATATATACCGATACATGACAAAACAACATTGACTGTTTAACTTAATTGACTGGAATTATGGGTGTTGCAATTGAGACCTATCATTCAAGGATTGGTTCACACTACAATTTTACCCCAAGTAAAATAATATCTTGACTGAAAGGTAAATTCTGGAATCAAATGTTGATGGTGTTCTATTTAAATGCATTTTGTCTGCCATGTCTTAAAAGCCTAGTGACTAGAACTGGCAAAAGTAATGTTGTTCAGCACAGATGGTATATGCTATCATGTTTATGTACCATCATAATTAAGACTTTCGAATGACGTCGAAGAAAATCCAGGTCCTAGAAATATTAATGAAGAATTTTTTATTATACTTATACAGTTCATGCCGATTTCCATCAAGGTCATGCATTAATATTTGTAGAAGTAAATGTTTGTTTTGCATTATCAAAAGCTTCAGTGACAGTGAAGTCAGTCAAACGACTTCATAGGCTATCATCAAAGTCTTTCAACATAATTTATTGAACAACAGTATTAAACAGTTCATACATTTTTCATTTTACGGACTTGGCTTGTAAATTATTAAGCAGAAGCCACAAGGCTTCATGGGCATAGGAAACAACGTGGAGTTTGGGGTACATATACAGGGTTCGTAGTCTCCAAAACCAAAACAATTCAAAGACTTTCAAAGATTTTTTCTGCCTATTTTCAAAGACTTTTCAGCAATCAGCTGTCGAAAAATTGCGAGTGTAAGCACCATTTTACACAGTAATTAGTCCAGTCAAATCACATCCTAAAATGCGCCTTTTTGTCGATATTTGCGAAAATCTTGCTTCAATCAATCTATTTTATTAGCTAGAAAATCGTATAATCAATTCCTCACTAAAGAATTTAAAGACTTTTAAAGACTTTCTTCGCTTTTTCACACAATTCAAAGACTTTTCAAAGACCTTAAAGACCTGCATTCAAATTTAAAGACTTTCAAGGATTTCAAAGACCGCTACGAACCCTGATATACATCTTCTTAGTTTTGAGCCTTCCTATAGTGGAGATAAGTTAATATGGGGTAATTTGAACTTGTGTCTTGTTCCATCCATCGTAGTATTTCGCTCTGTCTAACCCCAGAGGATAGCTTGTTAGTGAAAAAATAAACTGTTAATTAATGGGTTGTGTAGTTGTTACCAAAACTAATTTTGTGGGGTTTTTTCCCACAAAAGGAAGGAGACACAGCCTTGACTACCTGGCTACAACAGAAGCCCACTGACATACTATACCAGGGCTGATCATGACAAGGAGCTATTGGCAACATTCGAGAATGGTGAAACTGTCAAAGCGGTGATTTGCTTCCTGGCGTCGTTCTAACTAGCCTACGGTGTAGACTCCAGCAGAAACACGTTTCGTGAGGGGTCTACGAATAAACGAAGAAAAGCTTGCCCGGCCTACGTCATATCCGTTTCACGTTTTGGGTAAATTGACTTCAATTTATTCAAATTTCCGAAGCAGTGAAGCGTGCGTAAATGTAAATTTTCATTTGGAGCTTATTAAAATGTTCCATGGCGGGCTTTGTGCAATACAAATGTGTTCTTTACTTCAATATCCCGTCGAATAAAAGCGATATTAATTTCGTGGACAGCAAGGAGACTGTACGTAAGGAGTTAGACGACCTTCCTTTAACGGTTTAATATGTGAGCTAGACAATACGATAACGAACGTGCACGAAACAGCATTAAACGCTATTGGTGCTTATTACTATTGGAACTTATTATTATTATTATTATAACTCATAGTGGGGCCCCTAAGGAGCTATTGGCAACATTCAAGAATGGTGAAACTGTCAAAGCAGTGATTTGCTTCCTGGCGTCGTTCTAACTAGCCTACGGTGTAGACTCCAGCAGAAACACGTTTCGTGAGGGGTCTACGAATAAACGAAGAAAAGCTTGCCCGGCCTACGTCATATCCGTTTCACGTTTTGGGTAAATTGACTTCAATTTATTCAAATTTCCGAAGCAGTGAAGCGTGCGTAAATGTAAATTTTCATTTGGAGCTTATTAAAATGTTCCATGGCGGGCTTTGTGCAATACAAATGTGTTCTTTACTTCAATATCCCGTCGAATAAAAGCGATATTAATTTCGTGGACAGCAAGGAGACTGTACGTAAGGAGTTAGACGACCTTCCTTTAACGGTTTAATATGTGAGCTAGACAATACGATAACGAACGTGCACGAAACAGCATTAAACGCTATTGGTGTACCACTTAAAGTACAGCGAAATGTCGTAAGGAAACTGGGATTCGAGCCGACTTGCGATAAAGCTTTTATGCCGGCTACATTTATTGCACAAAGCCCGCCATGGAACATTTTAATAAGCGCCAAATGAAAATTTACATTTACGCACGCTTCACTGCTTCAGAAATTTGAATAAATTGAAGTTAATTTACCCAAAACGTAAAACGGATATGACGTAGGCCGGGCAAGCTTTTCATCGTTTATTCGTAGACCCCTCACGAAACGTGTTTCTGCTGGAGTCTACACCGTAGGCTACGTTCTAACCTGCTCCACTTGGACTACCCATCCAGACTTGGCAGTCTGACATGGTAAAGGCTTTTCAAGAAATTGAACAATATTGCTACGAGTGAGAACTTTTACTTTTATCTATCAGTAATATATACTTTAACCCATTGAGCCGCAATGCGCCCCAGTGCACCCTACTTTTTTTTTACTTGTCTAATGCCAGACGATTTTACTCGTCAATGGGGAAGTTCTGCAGCTTAATAGGTTAATAACCTACTCATGTATAGCTGGTAAATATATTATTTTAAACGTTCTTAATTGTTTTAGTATTGTTTTCATATTGTAGGATGACAACAGCAAAAAAAAATTGCCAAGATAATTCTAGTTTCATCTTGTCATTTAAGAAAAATATTCTTAAATGCCATGCACACCAGATCGAACTAGAATAATTTTCTCAGCAAGATTTCAATTCAAGATAATTCTTCTAATTTTGTCCCGTGGGTAAGTAAAATTTTCTTATTAAGATTATTTTTCTTATTTCAAGAATACATTCTAGCAAAATTTTCTTATTTCTAGAAAAAAATTCTTAGTTCCCCAAGAATTATTTTCAAGTAATAAGAAAATTTTGCTAGAAAAAAATTCTTAGTTCCCCAAGAATTATTTTCAGGTAATAAGAAAATTTTGCTTGAAATAAGAAAAATATTCTTGATAAGAAAATTTTACTTACCTACGGGACAAAATTAGAAAAATTGAACTTTGACACTAACTATTAGAGGTGTTCAAATCCGATCCGAATCCCATCGGATTCGTTCGGATTTCGGAACCAAAATTCATTTCGGATCGGATTGATAAAGTTGTTTCACAGTCGGATCGGATTGGACTTCGATATCCGAAATAAAATGAATTAATTATTCACGCATTATCGCAAGAATTAATTATCCATGCATTTATCAAAGCATCATCGCGGTTGTCGCTGCATTAGTCGTTTGATACTTCAATTGGACGTCACTTTGTCAGCTTCTTGACATGTATTTCTTGCTTTTATATTTATTTGGTTAAATATTTCAACTTGAATGAGAAATTTATTTTATTAAAGGGTATTAGCAACAAAAAATTTTATTGCTTCATCTTGGAAAGAGCATGAAAAAATAAGCCGATTGGTCGTTTAATGCTCTATTCTATCTCATCTGGTTCTGAAGTTATACGCAAAAATGTGCAAAATATAAATTGCTGATTCAGCACAACGTGTGATGTCATTAGTAGGGTAAGTATGTTTATTGAATAGTAAACTCAAGCATTGCTCAGTTATTATGGGCCCAAATCAAATGAAATTTTGCATACTGACTCTACATGATGAGACACATTGAAAAACACTTCTAATTTTTTTGCTAAGGTAACAATGTCGTTCCCAGGCCCTTTGCTCCAATTTTATAAAACAACTTTATTCATGGTACTTATAAGAATAAAATAATATCAGAAGTATGTGTACCATACCTATGCATGCCAAAAGTCTACTTGCATGATAATAATTCGAAAATGACATACACATAGATAAATGCAACTAGTTATTCAAAATCAATGTAAGGGGCCTGGGAACAACTGTGTTGCCTTGACAACAAAATTAGAAGTAGTTTCCCATGCGTCTCATCATGTACTATCTGTATGCAAAATTTCATTTGCCTTGAGCCAATAATAACTGAGCTATGCTTCAGTTTACTATTCAATAAACATACTTACCCTACTAATGACGTCACACGTTGTGCTGAATCAGCAATTTATATTTTCACATTTTTGCGTATAACTTCGGAACCAGATGAGATAGAATAGAGCAGTAAATGGCCAATCGGCTTATTTTTTCATGCTCGTTCAGATAAAGCAATAAAAAATTTTATTGCCAATACCCTTTAATGAATTCTTCGGATCGGATTGGAATTATTTTTCAAAACTCGGATCGGATTAGACAATTTCGGATCAGATTTTAAACATCAGGCAATTGTCGGATTATAAACGTCCAATCCGATCCGATTCACACCTCTACTAACTATATAATAATATGTTATATTATTATATGGCAAGCATTTGCTTTGATGTATCGCGCAATTTGATTGGCTGCTGGCGAGGCAGGATTTTTCCGTATTGCCCACGGGCAATATGCAGTTTTTATTGCCCTGCGACGAGAGCCAAGTTTCAAACAGCAAAAAGTGTCTAAAAGTCTTTCAAACTATTCAAAACGAAGAAAAATAAACCTAAACTAAAGAAAAGGAGCAACTGCTGTGGTTAAAGACCTTTCTCAGTACGTCTTTGTTAGCGAAAATCAAAATTACAAGGTAAATTTTACAATGTTTATAACCATTAAAGCAGTCAAGAATAGTTGTGTTTTGACTATGTGAAGAGCTGCAAACTTTATTTGCAGATAGCCAGGAGGAATTTGACACCATCCTAAATAAAAAATACAACTAAAGCAGCCACAGAATTATAATTTTTCCCTGAAAATATTCTGTTTTTGTTAGATAAAAAGAGACATAAATATGAGATGAAGCGAACTAAAAACGTACTTATCCATACTGTTTATTAATTTTATTGTTTTTGAATTTGTTGTCTTTGATTAAATTATGAAATACCTCATATTTTTCTTGAAATACTATCCAAACTGTGTTAGTATTCTATATAAAAGTCCTGTAGAGCAGTTTTACTAACCAAGAGAACATTTTTTTCGGACTTTGTACTTTGACCTCGTGTGACCTTTTTTCTCATTTTTGCATATGTACAATGCCATATAATAATAAACTTACTGACCTCAACCGTTTGTGCAGTATGGGAAAATATCGAACCTCGGTCTTGCTGTATTGATCTCGCTATCACCAGGCCATTACAGCAAGACCTTGATTGGATATTTTCCAGTAGTGCCTCACTCTCGGTCAGTATGTTATTAATATCTGCATGAAATGTCAGCGCCATAATATCAAGTACAGACCTAAACAGGATAAAGCACATTAATTTTTCTTTTGTTTAATATTATATTGTATGGTTTGACTGAAAGTCCTTGCCCTTATTCAGGGCTTTCAGAATTATTCTGAGTAGGTGTCTGTTTTGATAAAGTAGGCGGCTGTTGGGAGGGGATGGTCTAGGGGGTCTTAAACTAGTGTATATTGATTAGATAGCAACACAACTGAGCTCTGTAACCAAATTATAATGTATCACTACTTTCATTCTTCAACAAGATAACTTCAAGATTTAAGATGGCAGATAACTAAATCGATTTTACAAAATAGTACGCCGTTTTCGAAAATAACCAGGCTATAAAGTATAGACCATGTTGAGGATGAGTTGATGGAAGGAGAGCAGAACTGAGTTGATGGAAGGAGAGCAGAACTGATCATTCAAGTACTAAACAAAGTAACCGGTGGTGAACCTCGTGGCACCCGCCAGAGCTCCGGCAGCCGCCTGCTTATTTTGAAAGCCCTGCTTATTTTACCCCCCTGCTTATTTTACCCCCCGGTCAACAAAATTCCTATTTACATTTGATTTCAAAAAAGCTCCTTTTAAAGTGTGTTGTTTAAGTACACAGGAACTTTGTTGCATCCTGAACTATACTTAATGAAGACCATTGTGAACACCTTTGCTCCCATTAGACAAAAACTGATGTCATCATAAAAATAATCAAAATATTAAGGTTTAATAATCCAATTAATTGAATATTAGGACTTACAGACTTGAAATTCCGAAGTGAAGCAATAAGTTAATATATAACTTTTGATCGCTTCAGTGTCATCAATCTGGCTGTTAGAAAATTCTTATAAAGCTTAATGAAAGCGCTATCAGAACTGAGAATATTTATCGAACAGACTCCATTTCACTGTTGATTGTTTCAAACATGTGTGGCAGTATCGTGGTCCGCCAACCATATTTCGCATACGATTTATAATTTTTCTATAAAACCTACATATAGAGCAAGTAATGAAAAATGATCAACTAAAACATAATATATAAGGAATAATTGTTACTTACGTTGGGTTAGTGGTAGTTCTGCTTTCAGCATGTAAAGTCAGACTGTAGCCAAACAGTGAATTGCCTTCGCCTTGTTTAATGACATGCTTGTCTGTTTTCACATCGATGTTATAAGCTGAACAACATGCCAGGAACGAAAATAAGACGAGTGCCTTGCTACCAGACATTCGTATACTTTCAAAAACAAAAAATATACCAGAAAAGTAAATTTTAACAATTTTGACACAGCTTGTGTGTCTTACGATGTTGATCGAGTACTATAAACGAATATTATTGAGCATAAAATATTCAGTCGTTATATAGGGCGGGTCAATATCCGAGCGTCATCGGAAATACTCGGAAGCCTTATGGGCGATGAAACTGTGCATTATTCATGAATCATGATGACGTCACATAACTTGGTGAAGACGGTTTTACCATCCCACCCCACCCCCCCAGAGAAATGATTCAGTCGGTCTCAAACTAAGTGCAGTCGGTCTCAAAATTATGCTGTTTACATGCAGTGCTTTGCGATCGGAAGCAAATTAAAAAAAAACTCGAGATAGACTCAAACTATTTAGTATTGAGTTGGAAATTGCTCAGAAATATGAAGAAATATTACGTACTTATATCGCGAGTTTTTTTTAACGAATTATCAGTCAAACACGCGCAAAGGGATGAAATTTCCATTTACTTTCCAAACATGGAGATATCTCATGGAGATATCTATATGTCACAAGTACGTGTTGGCACTTTTATTTGGAATTTAGGTTCTGCAAGGTCATTAACGGGTGATATTCTATATTAGCGAAAATTTCAAACCCCCTAAATCAGACTCCAAAATGTGATGAATCTCGATCAAAATAGCTAACATTAGTTACAATATTTCTCCGGTCCCTAAACTATATTTTTAAGATGCAAAGTGCAAAAACGAATTTCTAGCCGAGTTATATTAGGAATTATGTTCACATGTAACACGATATGCATATGCATTTTGTTACCAAAGAGTTTTATGTGCCTACTGCATCAAGAAATTCGATCAGTGAACGACGCACTGGTTTATCTGAAATCACGGAGCGAAAAATTGTTTCCACTTACTAGGCGATGTTTCCAATTGTTGCTTACAGTCAGGCCCATAACTAGGTATATGAGTCAATCGAGTTCAAGTTCAATGACAGACTGTAGTGCTCTCCATGTAAAGAAGCATTATTCTTGCCCTACAGTGATCCGTGAGAAATGGGAGGCTGTGTGGGTACACAAGTACCCCAATAACAAAAGTGCTGGCCAGCGCCCAAATATTACAACAATTGGGCACAAATACTTTTTTATTATGCACCTGATCAATGATGTTCGACCAAAAATATTTATAATTCTTAGCCTCAGGTTTGGGGGCAAACTACAGTATAAGATTATAGTCATTGTGTCACTGTTTATGAAATTGATTTTTCGTTTGAACTGCTCCCAGAATGCAGGAAATAGCGTTTCTAAGCCTTAGAAAATAATTTTTTTTCTGGGGGAGCATGCCCCCAGACCCCCCCCCCCCACCCCAGAAGTGTCTCGGTCAATAAAAAATTCTATAGTTACGCGCCTGACAGTTCCTATAACATCCGCATCAGCCAAGCGCAGCTTTTCAAAGCTGAAATCAGTGAAAACTGTTATGCGTTCAGTAATGAACCTGGAACGCCTTGGTGAACTCTTGACTCTTGCGTGTGAGCGCGATCTAAAAGACACAGTCACACGATCGATCTTGACGAAATCGCTAATCCATGGTCAAACCTGACTAAGCGCTTAACGTTTCACAGCAAACTGTGCATGTTCTTGCAAAATTCCTAATAAATGCCATCAATTTCTATGCTTTGTACTCAATTTTATTGCAACACACCAACTCACCAAGAGTCGGTCTGGATTCACATTTCAGTGGTGGGTCGGTCTCATTTCGTGATTACACCCTCCCAGTCAAAATCGGTATGTCCGCCCCTGACCAGGGTGCTTGTATATAAGCGCCCTGGTTTTTACTCGCTGTGCCCCAGACGAGTATAGGTTTCGGCTTTTTTTCACGGATCACGGATCATGGTAAGCATATGCGTAGAACTTACGTTGGAAATCCAACGTACTGTCTGCCGTTAGCCAATCACAGGCCTGAATCAATTCGATTTCTCCAGAGCTATGCCCACCCTTAACCTGCGAACGAGCATGCTCGGGGAACGGGATTGCGCGCGGAGCGGAACTTTTCTTTGTCTTTTCCCTGGTCTTTTCTAATTAGTTCCACCCGAGAAATCACGGGACAAAGAGAAATTCCGCTCCGCGCGCAAAATTCCGCCTAGCGGAAAACAGGATGTGAACGAATGAGATGAGAATGGATGAGCCATGGAAAATTCCACTGGGCGAATTTGTCCGCGCGAAGCGAAAAACAAATCTTGGCAATTTGATTGGTCAGCGAAGAAGTTAACAAAGGAAAATTCCGCACTTCGCGTGCAATATTCCGCCTAGTTAACGGACGTTTTTGTCAACACGGACGTCAGATTAGTAAATAATAGACCTTTCCAAGGTTAACGGCGCCATCTTGAATCCATTGTTTTCACCATTGTGTTTGCACCCCCTGCAAATTTACCTATAGAGAATTCCATTGTGTTTGCATCGCTTGCACTATTATGTTTCATTATGGCGTCGTTAACCTTGGAAAGGTCTATTGATTGAAGTACTGAGCCGTAGCATATATGACTGAACGAATACATTCAGCAAATGCAGATTTTTATCTCTAATTTGGAAGACAAATTAGACGTCAAAAACTACAACGTAAAAACGTTTCTTTGCATGCTTCACAGTGTTTCAGTGCAAATAGGTGTTTAAAAAGATTTTGAACCAGGGGTCGCGGAACCGGGGGGCATGTGCCCCCACTTTTTTAAAAGTGAAAAAAGTGCCCTTTTTCTGGGCTGAAATGCCCCATTTAAAGAAAGAAAAATGTATTTCTTGAATGAACGCCCTCCTTTGTTGGAAAGAAAGTGCCCTTTTTGCAGTAGTAAAGGCTCTGTAAAGGCCATTTCCGACGTAAATAGCAGCAATTAAACACCTGTACATCATCACTTTCATGAGTTTCATCCCTGGGAGAGGTTGTCCAAAAGGCAGTTAGCTTAGCTTATAAGAAATGTTTCAAAGCAAACTTCCGACAAGGAAGTATTTTTCTACTGAGGTATATTCTCTGGATCAACAGAAGTTTTATTAATTTCCTGAAATTTTGAAAAAGACGTGCAGAAATGCTTAAACCAAAACAGCAGGTTAAATTTGAAGCCAAGGTTAGCGCTAATCGAGCTTTGAGCAATCGACCCCTGGTTCCCAGCCCCTTTTAAAACTGCCAGCTACTGACAGATGGCTGACCAACCCGGAATTGAAGGAATGCATACAGAAGTAACTTTTTTCTGGGCGGGGTGGGGCAAAGCTTCCTGAATTTCCGACATATGTGTAATTTACACTTAAATTTGGAGCGCTGATTTCAGTTTTCCGACAAATAGTTTTTTTTAGATAAACGTGAGCCACGGCAGCCACCCCATAAAAATATCTGGCTCTGGAGTCTGGAAAAGTGGGAAAGATTTCATTCCATTCTAATATCGAGGTTCGCACCTATCATAGCACTGCCTTCCTTTTACTCATTTAAACTACCTCATAGAGGCATGCAGAAGAAAACACCGACGTTTTAATGATGAGTCGAGGCAGTTTGTATCAGTTAGTAGAACCGAGTAGTCGCCATTAGCTTTCAAAGGGAGAGCTTTTGCTCGAAACGACAAATTTTTTTCTGAATTATTTATTTCGACAGAATACAGTTTTCTCTTTATTGAGTTTATTCGAACGGTCTGTGCCAGCATAGACAATCCATTTGTCTTCTGGTTCAACTCGTAGGTAGTGACAAAATTGAATATCACCTAGGGACCGGTCATAAAGTAATTACTAGAGGGGGGTGGAGGATAAATGAAATTTCAAGTACATATTTCCATACCCTCCCAAAAACCTGTGGAAAAATTTTCGTAACCCCCTTCAATGTAAGTGAAAATTTTCATACCCCCCCCCCCTTCTATCATTAATTCTGTTTTAACATTTGTCTTGCGTTTATCTATATTTCGAAACTCTCCAGTTTGCGATAACTCTCCCACATCTTCTATAGTGGTAACCATATCCTCAACATTTTCCGCAGTTTCCGATTCGTCACCAGTCTTTTCAGATTCTGACATACTAGCGATGGGCTGAGAGTAGGATCAAACAGAAAAATTTGTTTTTGGTCTATTTCAAATAGAAAAAATTTGCTTTCATTCAATGTGACACTTCCTCATCAGGTTCATCAAGTTCTAATGCCGGTGTGAGCTTGCTAGCATTGACAATTCAGGTGTATCAGATTTGTACTCCAAAAGTTCAACGGATACTGAATCCTACTTATCATATGACAATGAGTCAGACTAAAACATATACCTTGTGTTGATTTAATAATTATAGTAAAGCAATTCTTTCCAAACTTAAATCTGGGCACAAATACATTCAATATTCAACAATAGTTATAAAATGTAATTGTTTCCCGTACCTATAGTACTAAGATTTTGGTGCCCCCCTAGAGGTTCTGGGTTTTTTTTCGTACCCCCCTCAAAGGTTCTCTTTTTTCTTCGTACCCCCCAAAAATATCCTCCACACCCCCTAGTAAATACTTTATGACCGGTCCCTAATGAACATACATCATAGGTAATTAATGGGGGGAGGGATTTATTCTATCATAGTAGTACACACCTCTTTTGGAAACCAGCATTTGTTGAAAAGATTAGTGTGTTTTTAAATAAAGTTGATCCATCCATCCATCCATGGCCGCAAGCCACAACCAAGTGGCTACTACTACACGGCTAAAAACGCACAGGTTGTTGCAAGTTGATATCGACAGGCGTAAACAATGTTGTGCGGCCAACTATGAACAAGTTGTCAACCATGTTGTTCCAAGTTGTTACAGTTGAACAATCTGTAACAACATGTTGACAATCTAGTGTTCATAGTGGGCCGCACAACCTTGTTCACGCTTGTCGATATCAACTTGCAACAAGTTGTTGATTTTCTCAATTTTTACGCGTGTATTTGTAAAATAGAGCCCGACACAAACCTTAACCCTGTCGTTCTGCACCCACAGTAAAGTTTATATTTAGCATCCAATCAAAATGTCCCTGGGCAAATATTAATTTGAAAAGAACATTTTTTATCTGATAACCAATCAGGTGAGTAGTAGGATTTTGACTTTTTAACATGCGGCCAGACAGCGGCTTGCATATG